TTATATATAATATATAAGTATACGTAAGACTTTTGGCTAACCCCCTTCCCCCAAAAATATTACGTAATATCTGTCACTGCCCTAAACTGTTCTATAATATTTCTGTTCTCTTATAAAAATTTGCTTTACAAATTCTTAATTAAAGACTGTTACTTTTTATCAGTAAACTTAACAATATGAGTTATAATAAAGTATTGGGTCTAATATAACAATTCTTTAGATCAGATGCTAAAGATTTGTTAGAGTCAAATAGCTTCTTTTCAAATGTCTTGAGTTTTTCAAGAACCTTGAGAAGCTTGAATAAGTTTACAAATCTGTTGTTATTTATTAGGTTGTTTTTGGATAAGAATTTCTAAATACAGATAAGCTTCAAGAATCTTTATCTGTTTGGGTCAAGTTTGGTCTTTATTTTCTAATTGTCGAAAGATTTAGCTAATTGATCTTTCCAAGTTCTACCAATAAAAAGATTAGGATAGTTATGCAATTGAAGAGTAAGGAGTTGTATCAGTTCATTTTAAATTTTTTGAAAAATTTCTGTTTCTGGTTCTATTTTGAGAAAAAAATTGTCAGAAGTAGGGTTCACTTCTGGTTCTGTATCAGGTGAAGGATCATTTGGAGTAGGGTCAATTTTTGGGTCTTTAGTTAAAATATTATCCAAGAGGGCTTCTATATTAATAAGATTAGTCAAGATATCTACTGTAGTATTTACTAGGAAAGTAATATTACTAGTATTGTTAAGGTCATTAGGATTCTACAGAAAGATGTTGAAAGAACAAATTTCCAAATTGTTTTGAGCAGCAGGGTCTTGTCTCCAAATAGTAAAAAAGTATTAGAGGGCTTGGATAGTTACAAGTTACAAAGTATTGTTATGCATAGTGTCTGTATATTGTGTATAAATTAAGGAATTTCTAAATAAAGTATCTATTTATAATTTTTTAAAGTTATACAATTGTTTGTTTTGCAAAATTTTGTCTTTGTCTCTCTTCATCTAATAAAATTTCTTTCAGAAATTAAGGATTTTTAATCACAATGATTGGTTCTCATATTTGCTTTTTGTAATACTTTGCTAATCGATTACTATTATAATATTTTTGTAGTATTTTTCTATCCAATATTCATAGTCTATAAGCTCTATTATTTAATTTTATTTGGATAATATAGGGTCTTTCTCTTTTGTCTTCGAATTTAGCTAATCTTGATTTCTTTAAAGCCTTTATTTGTATTCAAACTTTTTTATTAATTCTGAATTCTTCTGGTTTGATTCTGGTATTGAAATATTTTTTTTGTTTCTCTTGAGATTTTTCTGTATTGGTTCAAGCTTCTTTTGGTACCTGAGATAACTTTTCTATTAGATCATATACTTATTATAATATACTGTCTTGTAGGTCTATTTTTGTATTTGGGTCCGGTAGTAGTTTAATAGGATAAATAGTCTCAATAGGTAAGGTAGCTTGTTTTTTATAGATTAACTAGAAAGGTATATAGCCAGTAGTAGCATGTCTCTTGGTCTGATATATCAAAAAAATAGCAGGTATGTGAATATCTTAATCTTTATTTGTTTCTTTCACTTTAGCGAGTGATCGCAAAGTATTCTATTTAATCGTTCAATTATTTTATTAGTCTGTAGATAGTATAGCGAAGAGAACTTGTGCTTGATAAGAAACTTTTCATATAGTATTCAAATAGTAGTGCTAATAAAGTTTCTTCTTTGGTCAGATAAGATTATTTTAGAGGTTCTATGTTTATAGATAATTTCTTCAAAAATGAATTTTGCTAAGGTTTCGGCTTTAGTATCTGATATAGCACAGGCTTCTGACTATTAAGTTAGATAATCTGTTGCTACAATAATATAATAATTGTTCTGGTCTGTGATTAGTAAAGGTTCAACTAGATTGATTTCAATTTATTTAAAAGCTTGTTCAATTTAAATCGGGTATAAAGGTTCTTTTTTTCTTTCTTTTAGTCTTTTCTGGCAGTCTTTACATATCTGTATATATTCTTTAATGTCTTAGTATATTTGATTCTAATAATATTATTCAGCAATTTTATAATATATTGTGTCTGTTCCTAAATATCTAGCAGTAGGATATTTATATATTATGTAGAGAACTAGTTCTACTTCTATTTATTTGATAACTTGTAAGGGTTTATTTAAGTCTTTTTATTCTTTTTATAAAGTAAATAGTATCTAATTTCGAAATATTAGGCTTGATTAATTAATTGTTTTGTCTGGTTCTTAGTAAAGTCTTTAGGTATTGTATCTGTATCTAAGTACTGGTACAATTGGTAATATTGGTCTAAGTTTATAAGAACTTAGATTTTTTGATCTGAGTCTGTAGTCATGAGAAGATATCGATATTAGAGTATATTTGTCCTGGTTTATAAATAATCTTAAAGTTATAGAGCTATAACTTGAGTATCTAGCAGCCTAGTCTTCTTTTGGGCTTAGTAATACATAGTTATTTAAGAGCATAGTAGTTAATAATTAGAATAAACTTGATAGCTCCAAGATATTTATAAAAATGCTCAATGGCCTATACTATAGTAGCATATTCTAATTTGGTAGCTCCATAGTTCATTTCTTTCTTCTTTAGACTTTTATTAGTATAAGCTACAGGATATTTCTTATTATAGATATCAAGTTGACTAAGAGTAGTACCAAATCTATAATATGAACTATCAGTTGCTAGAATGAATATCTTTATGAAGTTCAGATAGGGATATAACAAAAATCAGGTGATTTTTTAGGAGGGAAGGGGGAGTAAAAAATTAAAAATTATATATAAAAATCTGATTAAGATATATAATAAGAGAAAGAAGGGAGAGTAAGTCTCTGATAAAAAAAAATCAGATGATAAATGATACTGTCTATAGCTAAAAATAGGTATACTAATGAGTTTTTGCTTTAGCTCATCAAAGAAGTCTTGTTGAGCTTTGATTCATTTATAAGGTTCATCTTTTTGAAAAAGTTGGTTCAAGGGTTTTGCAATAGCAGAAAAATTACAAATAAATTAGCAATAGTATCTTACTAGTTCTAAAAAAGATCATAACTAAGTTATATTCTTAGGAAGCAGCAGGGAGGGCAAGCATACTTTTTTTCTATTTTATAGAATTTTTGGGTAAGTTGAGTATGTAAGTTAAAAGCTCTGAAATCGTCAAAATCTATATTATCTTTTTATATAAAATATCCAGGAACACGTTCTAGAGGCTAGATTTTTTTGGTTAAAAATAACCCTTCCAGAGTTCCAAGAACAATAATTTAGTTTTCTAGTTAAATCAGCACTTGAGAGCTCCAAGAACAATAATTTAGTATTCTGGTTAAATTAGCACTTGAAAGCTCCAAGAATAATAATTTAGTATTCTAGTTAATTGATACTTAAAAAGACCAAGAACTATGATTTGTTTTCTTGCCTAGCTGGAGTCTCTGAAAACTTAATTTTGATGACGAGCATTTTGCTTTTTATGATACATTTTTATTATATAAAAAATATATTGTATAGCTATTTGACGTTTTTTTGCTTTGAAATATATCTAGATAACATTTTAGCTTTCTTGTCTAGTAAGTCTCTGAAATCTATTATTGCTAACTGTATAAGGATGCAAAGTACCTGAAATACGAAGTGAAGTGGAGTATCTAGTTACCATATTGCTTTTTTGTATAGTTTGAGTCTTCGAAATCTATTCCAATCATGAACAAATGAAGTGCAGTGAGTTATCGAGAAGCATTTTTAAGTCGAGCAATATATTGGGAAACATAAAACCTACCAACATGAGCCTGGCAACGGCCAGAAGCAGAGGCAGTAGGCTTCGCACAGAAAGTGCAAGAAACGCATTTTTTGGCTCTCCGATGACCTTCTTATATACTTAAGTTAGACTATATAGGATAAAATTTAAATTTAAAGAAAAGAATATTTAAGGTAGTATATATAAATCGGTTAACTATGTGTAGATATGGACCTTGTTCAAGATGTGGCGATATATTTGCAACAAACCAAAAATTCAAGTATCATTTAACTGAAAGAAAGTACTCTTGTGTACCTCGAAATATATTACAAACAACTGTGCCAGTTTCTAGCTCTGAACCCTTGTCTAATTTAGATTCGCAATTTCAAGTGGTAAAAGATCCCAATGCTAGAAAATCAGGCAAGTCTGTTAAACAATGGGGATCGAGATTACGAAAAAAAGTCAAAGAATTAGGTGACAAGGATCATGGTCAGCCAAAAAATTTGGCTGAAACCAAAGCTCTTTATGATGAATTATTGCAACTGGATCCAAATGCATATTTCTGATCTGCAACAAAAGAAGAAAAGCATGAAGAGCAAGGATTTTTTGATGAACCTGAAATCGAGAAAGCAAATCTTCAGCGTGAAACATCTCCAATAGTATAGCCAAAAATTAATGAGTCAGAGACTTGAGGCTATGCCTCTTCTGAAGCTAGTCCAAGCTCTCATATTCAAGCTCATTGTGAAGGTAGACTTACTAAATCAGAAGAAATAGTAACTCAACAAACCACACCATTAGATAATATAGAATTGCAACCTGTTCAAGAATTGTCTATTCACAAAGAAGAATTTCTAGATTTAGATGTAGAAGTACTATGGCCAGTTCGATTTCCATATAATGAAGAGCATCGTATAATATGGCAAAATGGAATTCAGACCACAAAGAATATGTTTAAAGTAGATGGAGCCAAATATGCTTTCTCAACCTGGTTTACAGAAGCTAAAGAGATAGATTTGGCCAGTATAATATTAGGAGCAGAAAATGAA